GTAGAGTGCTTTTTTTTTATTATTATTGATCTTATTTAACTTTCATTTTTACATTTTTTTAAACTTTCTTTTTTACTTAATTTTTTTGCTACACACAAAGGGGGGTGACAAGTGGATACATGGTGCAATGAGCAGCTTCCATAGGCCGTAGAAGTGATCAAGTCGCTTTACAGCAGTCCAAATTATTTCTAGTAAAAAAAGCCGACAGCCTGCAGAAGGGATGTAAACAAGATCCTGGTTGCTATAGCAACCAGGGGCCCTTGTACAGGTCCCTTGCTGCTGTCGGCGTTGCCTTACAGCAGTGTCAGTGAAAGGGTTAAACATCAAGGAAATCCTTTAAAATAAATGTAAAAAATGTTTTTTTCCTGCAATCTTTCTTTGGTGATAGAGATGTGATTTAGCTACAACCTCTAAACGCACAGAATCTCTAATACAGCTATAGATCACTGCAGTCATTTAGCAGACACAGCAGTTTGTGGAGGGCTGCAGTTTATGGCTGGTATAGGACGCAGTCTTCACCGATGGTTAGGTCGGTTTTAATGGAAAAAGAAAAACCCAGCATTGTACTTACCTGTCCGCGGCCCGTGTACTAAATGTAGCAGAGTAAGAGGTGCTGCAGAACAAAGTTCCCCATCTAAGTGACAGAGGAGCTTATTACCGTATTCATTCTTTTGACACATTTTAACCCCCGACAGGGTCACTTTAAAGCAGGGGTGAGCAAACTCCGGCCCTCCAGCTGTGGTGAAACTAACAATTCCATCATGCATCTGCCTCCGGGAGTCGTGTCTGTGGCTTTGAAAATATTGCAATGCCTCATGGGATTTTAGTTCCACAACAGCTAGAGTTTGCCCGCCCATGCTTAAAGCAACTGTCGCTCCCCCCACCCCCCAAAATGAAGAACTGTCTGCAATAAACTGGGAATATATACCTCCATGGCAGGCGGTGAGTCCCGACGGATGGTGAAGGTTCTGCAAGGTCTTCAGAATTTGCTACTTCTAACAGTTGCACCACCCTCTGCACTCCATGGTTCCCCCCCCTAATACTAAGGTGTAAATTGCACATGTGTATGCATGTACATTCAAATACAAAAACTTAATAAAATGGAAGTAGATTGACATTTACATGTCTACACATATAAACACGCGCATTTTACGGACCAATTTAGACATTTTTTTTACCTGTTCAAATGGGTGGCAAGGGGGTGCTTGCCTGCTGCCTGTGCTTCGTGTCATCGCAAGCAACATACGGCATGCCGCGTTTGATAGGCAGTGCCGCTTTTCATAGCAACCGTTGCTATGAAATGGGACCCGCTCGTGGCACCCACCCGGTTGCAGCGCAGTATTGCAATAGAAAATCCCAATTGGGATTGTGGGAGTATCGCCTCCTGAACGCCGAGCAGGCGCTACTTTTCAGAGGGCGTTAGAGGCTGCTGCCTATGTTAACTCGGCCTACAAGAAACACGTATGCTACCACTGATGTCATCCTTTTTAAAAAAAAATTGAGAGCATTCTGGCGCCGAGGCGTTTTGACTTACTCGACTTCAATAACGCCAAGGGTATCCGTTAGAAACCACGGGAAGATCTCTGTTCAGAGCACCCTCTCTAAAGCCTCATTGTTCCCTATAAGACATCAGCTTAGCACACAAAATGGCTTCCCTCATTGCGCAGGCAACGCTGGGAACTGGCAACATAGTTGTGACATGGTGGAACGCTGCCTCGAGCTTGCAAAATGGCTGCCTCAATCTAAGCGCGACATGTACACTTTAACAAGACACCAACCCCCCCGCGGGGACAGGAGTATGGATCTACTCATCCGTAAAACATAGCAGAACTCGGGAGCCACTAAAGACAGTCACGTAATCGACGCACTAATGAGACGAGCGGCAGACAAGCTGCGAGCGGAGAATGAGGTCATACTGCAGAAGAGAGCCGCCTGAAAATTAACCACCACAGGGCACTGGCACAAAATGACGCAGACTCCGGGAAAAGGACGGCTCCTATGGGGACAAGCAAAGTTTCATTTAAAGTAACGCGCGCTTCTTTTATTTTTCTGTGTTAACGAAAAAATAAAAAAACCTTTTTTATTTTGCGGTCGCACCTAGACAATGGCTGACTGGGTTACTTGCTAAACGGTGAATGCACCGCAAATCGATTTTCCACAGAAGCGGAGACGGGATAATGCATCGCTATGGAGACGGAGACGGCTACACACGAGCGGACAGTACGGCTGAGCGAGCCGCGCGCCGAGCTTTCTTTTGTCCCTTTGCTGGAACATTCTCCGGTTTCAGTTTTCCCATATAGTTATACTAACAGAGCTGACAAAGCACCAAAAAGGCCGTCTTCGTATCTTTAATCACATGTGCTGTATCTTTATCTATACAACTGTCCCCTAAAAAATGATGTGAGAAGAGGACGCCACTGATGACCCAACACGCTATGAAATACTCAATTATCTTTATATATGTGCAACTACCGGCCCATTACAATAGCCAAGTCATACTGGCAGATCTGATCAGATCCTACAAGGACTAGGTCATCACACGGCCACAGCACCCGACTGAAAACAATGCCGCCTCCGTCTTGTGTTCAGAAGAAAAATAATAAATCTAAATATCTTTTAAAACTGAACTCCAGAAGGCCTTTGTATTCTTCCTCAGTATCCTTTCTGTATTTCTTCCAGATCTGTGCAGTAATCCAGTGTGACACTTGGAGCTTCCTGTAATAAAGACCACTCACTGCTGCGCTCCCTTCTTGTGCAAGGCGACTGGTCTGGTCTCTGCCCCCTCCTCTGATAAAGACCGCTCACTGCTGCTCTCCCTTCTTGTGCAAGGCGACTGGTCTGGTCTCCGCCCCCTCCTGTGATAAAGACCACTCACTGCTGTTCTCCCTTCTTGTGCAAGGCGACTGGTCTGGTCTCCGTCCCCTCCTGTAATAAAGACCGCTCACTGCTGTTCTCCCTTCTTGTGCAAGGCGAATGGTCTGGTCTCCGCCCCCTCCTGAAGTTTTCTGCAGGTAGACTGCTAGGCCCCTCCCATAGCTCTGCTCTTTGTATAGCACAGTGATAATGTCACCACTACATTTACAAGGGCTGGGCCTGTAAAAGGAATTTGGTGCACACAAAGTGGATTGAAATCCTTTGTAGCTATTGAGCATTATGTTTCAATAAATGTTTTTGAGCCCAGAGTTCAGCTTTAACCCCTTTCGCTGCCAGCGTGCCCCTGTAAACAGACTTCCAGTGGCTATACCTGCCAGTTTACCTGTTTAAAGCCGACGCTTGGCTTTATATTGGAAGCAATTCTGGTGGCAGAAAAGTAAACAGAGCCCTCTCGGCCTTGCTTCTGGACTCTGAATCCCCCCCCCCGGGACCAGCATTGTGGGTGTCGGCAGGAAGAAAGGAGAGAGACCAGCAAATGTCCTTTCTCTGATCTCCTTCCCACTGAATGAAGCTGGAAGCGACGCTGATTGCATCACTTCCGGCTTCTGAGTTATTACCTGGCTAGAGAAGCCGGGGAAGAAGCTGATCAAGTGCGACCTGTGCTTGATCAGCTTTAATGGGCAGCAAATGTGACATTAGGGGTCACCTTAAAGAGTACCTGAAATCGATAGATTTAACTTGCAGAGGCATCTGCTGTCACTACAGCACCCACCCCGACCACAGGGTTTTATTTACAGACATGAGTGCGATAGGACATGCTTTGTATTGAACTTAAGGAGTACCTGTCACTATCACATATGGGGCTTGTGAGCAGCAATTACATAAAATGTTAAATACATTTAAAAATCCCCCCCCCCGGTAAATAATTTTTAAAGTCCCCTGCGAACGTGTGCATACTAAAGCAAACATGACGGTTGCACCTACGTGCAAATACAATGATTGCACTACACATGTTGGGTATTGCCGCATGTTGCCAGAGAGCGATAATTCTAGGGCCAATATTCATGGATATCTCTAAACTGATGGCCTGTACGCGCTTTTAAAATCGTTGTCTATGGACAATTCGGGGGACCGTATTTTTTTTGCCATTGAACGGGCGTGCACAAATGTTAATTATACACTGAGTGGCCAG